AGTCTCCGTAGCTGTGTCCACAAATAAAAGTTTGTGCTTAAGGACAGGAAGTCGGCTTTGAGGAGTACACCCAACACCTCCATAACCACCTTCGTTTCTCCGGCTTGTTCTGTCCTGGTGGTACCTTAATGGCTCTAACGCGTTCTAATTCAAGCAATGGGCGCGGCTTCTAGTGGGTAACAAGTGTAACTCGCAAAGCTGGGCTCGTGGTTAGTTTGTCTGGGGCAGAAGCGGGCCTCGCTCGCTCCTCTGAGCCGCGCACTGACCTTCATTGCTCAAACACCAGTATCTTCCAAAATGCCTCCCCACGCAAGCTTCCTGGAGTAACGCTGACCTCCCTCCCTGCGTCCCCCAAGAGCAGCCCCAGACCCAAGTAGCCCGGAATCTGAAGGAACGAGAACTAGCAGGGGGTGCTTCCTTCAAGAAGCGAACACCCCCACCAATGCCATTCCTCCCCCGGGGCCCGAGGTTAGGCGCTGTCCCTTTCCCCATGGACCACAGAGCTCACCCCAGAGCACAGACTGCGCCGACCCGAGGATCGCACGGCGTGCACTCCCGAGCAGCGGCCCCGGCAGCACCATCTCCCGCTCGCGCCCACCGGGCTCCTGATCACTTCCTCCTCCGGCTTCTCCCCTACTGATCCTCCCGGCGACCGCGCCGGGCTCTTGAGCGCCCCCCTCCGCCGGGCGCTGGCCGAGCCGAGGAGAGCCACGGGAAGTGATCGCTGAGGGAACCGGGCCCTAACTTAAGAAACTGAGAGCTGGGCTTTTTTTTGTTTGTTTGTTTTGATGATTATTTTTTATTTTTATTTTTTAAACCTTTTTAAAATGTTTATTTATTTTTGAGAGAGAGAGAGAGCAACTGTGAGCAGAGGAGGGGCAGAGAGAGAGAGAGAGAGAGAGAGGGAGACACAGAATCCCAAGCAGGTTCCAGGCTCTGAGCTGTCAGCACAGAGCTCACCCAAGCCGTGAGATCATGACCTGAGCCCAAGTCGGAGGTTTAACCGACTGAGCCACCCAGGCGTCCCTTGATTATTATTTTTTTTAAAGGAGAGACAACGTTTAAAAGTGGAAAGTAGAAAATACACCAAAGATAAAATTTAAAGATTTAAAGTAAAAATTTCCAACTTACTTTATATCCGGATTCTTGCAGATTAATTTAAAGTAAACTACATGGATGCCTTCCTAGGAATTGCTCTTAAATCCAATAGCCGGTTCAACTGATGTCAATATTAAAATAATCGCATGCTGTCATCTTTCCTCTACAACTTTGATATTTGTATTTGACGATAGCTTTGCCAGAGGTAGGTCCAACTAATATGTAATATGTGTTTTCAGTTGCCACTGTAACGAATTACCACAAATTTACCGGCTTCAAACAATATAAATTTGTGTACAGTTCTGTATGTCAGTACTCTTACTTGGCTAAAACTGAGGTGTCCACAAACCTGTGTTGCTTCCAAAGGCTCTTGGGGAGAATTTCTTTTCTTGCCTTTTTCATCCACTAGAAGCTGCATGCATTCCTGGGCTAGTGGTCCCCTTCCCCGTCTTCAAAGCCAGCTGGTTAGCATCTTCAAATCTCTAACTCTGACTCTGCTTGTGTTGTCACATCCACTACTCTTCCTCTTACTCTTTTTTAAAAGACGTTTGTGATGATTTTGGGGCTACTCAGATGATCCAGGATAATTTCCCTATCTCAAGATCCTCAATTTAATCACATTTGCAAAGTCCTCTTGCCTTGTGAGGTAACATGATCACAGGTTCTAGGAACTAGAACATCTTTGGGGGCAGGGGGTGTTATGCATCTTCCCACATAGAATTTATCATCACTGTGTTTAAAAAAATTTTTTTAAATATTTATTCATTTTTGAGAGAGAGAGGGTGAGCAGGGGAGGGGCAGAGAGAGAGGGAGACATAGAATCTGAAGCAGGTTCCAGGCTCCGAGCTGTCAGCACAGAGCTGGATGTGGGGCTCAAACTCATGAACTGTGAGATGATGATCGGAGCCAAAGTCAGACGCTTAACCTACTGAGCCACCCAGGGGCCCCTATTATGACCGTGTTTTTAAATTTATTGTCAACTTGGTTCATTACCTCATTTTTAATTTATTCTCAATTTGGTTCCCAAACATAATGAAAGCTATACTTAACTGCAAATTAATTTACAATGGAAAATTAAAAAATTAATTTCTAAATAGTATTACTAAAGTATCTAAGAATAATTTCATTAAGCACTTTAAAATTATTCAGTTTCAATAATTTAATAATTAATAAAAGCACTTCAAATTTCTACACCAGTGCCATCACATACAATTATGTTTTTCCAAATCATTTGGAGTTTAGACATAGTTTCTATATAATCTATATTGTGGATTAACTTTGAACTAAGATGTCATTATATATCATAGATTCACCCACTCCCCATGACATTCCTAAGCTGTCCTGAATACTTCATAAACCAAAGGTAGTGTGAACACAGGTATGGAAACAATGAAACAATGTACTTGGTTTCAATAAATCACATCTAATTTGATTTATGCTTTTGCAAGAGCACATATTACTAAACAATTCTTTTTCCAATGTTTATGACTAATTATTTGAGAAATATTTTTCTGCAGGATTTTTTTTTTCTGAAAAGATGAATAGCTCCTCCAATACCAGCACAGTGCCAAATTTAGTTTATTTAAGAGTTCTTACAGCAAAAAGTCTTGTCAAAAGAGTCTTGATCATTATTCCTTGGACAAGTGTCCAAGCTCTTCTTTCAGAGTTAGGAAGGCTTAAAGTGGGATGAAAGGGAGAAAAAAATAGTTGGTTCTGCTGAGTTGATATGAATCATTAATTCTCAACTCATTTTATTTCTTGGCATAATGCAAGTGAAAGGCATTTGGAAAGGAGGGGATTTCCCCCATTTCTTTCTAAGTCCACATCAAGCCTCCACATATTTGACAAATCAAATGAAGAATTAGGAAATGTATTGTTTTTCATGCAACTTTTTTTGGAAAGAGTTTCTATCAAAACTTAAAATGAGTATCTGTTGACTCAGCATTTCCACTGCTAACAGTTTACTGAAGATATTTGCACAAGTAGGCAAAGATAAAGGTACATTAACAGGAATCTGGGGATAAAATGACACATCCATTCACGGGAGTTGTTAGCAAGTAGTCAAAAGAATGAGGCTAATGTGGGGTTATGCCCAAGACATACTGTCAAGTGAAAAAAATCAAGTTGCAAAATAGAACATAGACTGTTAGAAATCAAGATAGCTTTGGAATTTTGTCATTTCCGAGAAAAATTACATAGTGTTTGCGTAATTCCTAAATTTCTTGTTCTAACTCAGCCCCCCCCTTTTAAACTGTAAATTGGATTCCAGTATATGATACATTTTTAAAAATCCCATTTACTGCAGTGTGATATGGAAATTAGATTTGCTCAAGTTTGCATATCTTTTTTTCCTCCATGTTGTATTTTTTTTTTAATTTTTTTTAACGTTTATTTATTTTTGAGACAGAGAGAGACACAGCATGAACGGGGGAGGGGCAGAGAGAGAGGGAAACATAGGATCGGAAGCAGGCTCCAGGCTCTGAGCTATCAGCCCAGAGCCCGACGCGGGGCTCGAACTCGCGGACCGCGAGATCGTGACCTGAGCCGAAGTCGGAAGGCTTAACCGACTGAGCCACCCAGGCGCCCCTCTCCATGTTCTGTTTTAAATATGAAGTTAAAATAAATAAAAATGTTTGAGTGTAGACAATTTTGACTTCACAATTACACCACAATATGACCTATTCTTACTTGAGGAATATTTTTTTTCTCTAAAGCAAATATTCCCTAAAGAATATTTTCCCCCTATTCCAAAACATGATTACGTATACCTATACCTAGCACAGTAACCAGCAGATTTATAGTTATATTTGTTGAATGAGAGGTTTCCATACATACAATGTAAAACATCTAGTAACTTTCCTTGCCAAGTTCTTTACATAGAAATAATGCTATTTCGTAAGAAATGAATGAGAGTTTTTAAGGGAAAATCAAAAATTTTTCGGCTTATCTCTGGTATCTTTGACACTTAATCCAAGGTTCTATCCCTAAGGCCACACCTGTCTCCTGGCTGAAGAGTTGTGGGAGATTACAAAGCTTGTAGAGCTTACCCATAACTAGTGTTGATGTTTGCATTATCATTCGGACAAAATATTTTCAAACCAACTACTTTTAACTAAACAGATGCAACGTCCAGACCACTTTAACGGATAATCGAGCTTCGAAGAAGTATAGGTGTAGGTCAAGAAAATTTCTGTGTAGTAAGTAACGACAGGTAAGCCAAAAATAATGAAAAAATGCAAGGTAATATATGACAAATGTTAGATGTGACTTTATCGTACAGAAGAGGGTGATGGAGGGAAGTCGGAGGTTATCCCGTTAGGCCCTCAGCAACAAGTGGGACCTAAGTCCCCGACTCGGGGAAGGCCTGAGGGGCGCACTCCCGGACACTCGGGACGCAACAAGGAGCCAGTTGCTATTATTCTAAGATTAGCCTGGCCTGTAGCACTCTGCAGACTTAGAGAACGCAGGCGCGACGCGAGCCGACCCCGCCCTGTCCACGCCCCACTCCCGATGCCCGACCGCCAGAAGCGCGGCCTGGAACCCGCCCGGCTGTGGGGCGGACGCACGAGGCCACGCCCCTGCCGGCGGGGAGGTCGGCTGCGCAGGCGCAGTCTCTTGAGGTTGTAGACGCGGCGTCTCGGCCCGGCGTGGTGAGTCCGTACTGCGGCTCTGGGGTTGCCGCAGTATCTCGGTCGTCGCTTCCTCGCCTCCAGCCTCTTGTGGCAGGACGGGCCTGGGAGAGAGGCATCCTGCGCCTCCACCCCTCCCCACTTCGCGATCCCGGGGCGGGGGGGGGGTTCCAGGCGGTCGCCGAGGGCCGCGTGAGTGCGGCCCGGCTGGGCGGCGGCTGGAGGAGCCGGGGTGGTTTGGGCGGTAGGGGGGCCGCGGGGAGGGGCCCGCGTCTCCGCGGGATCGCGACCGAGGCTCGGCCCGACACCCTTTTCCCGCCTCCCTCCCGCGCTCTCGCCTCACTACGCGTTTTGTCTTGAGAAAGTTGGGATGCTTTGGGTAGGAACCGGAGGAAGCAAGGCTCACCGCGGGGTTTTGGAAGCATCGCAGAGTATTAGGAGCCCTGGAGACGAGCTGCTGGGGTCCGAGTCTCCACCATTCGCTGGCTCCCGGACCTCTGCAAGTCACTTAACTTCTGTGTGTCTGTTTCCTCAAGGGTAAAATGAGGGAAGTAATAGTAACCTCTCTCAAAAGGTGATTGTTGAGAATCAAGTGTGATAGCATCTTTGAAGTGCTTAGAGCCGAGCCTGATGCACAGCAAAAGTATGCACGTGCTGTTCATGTTTTGGAGCCTGATAACTAAAAGGACAGTGTGTCCTTCCCACGCTGAAAACAACTGCCCGAGAGAGAGTCCAAGGGTAGGGAAAAATGATTTTTTTCTTTTTCTCTTGTTTTTTCTTTGAGAATATGGGCTTTTGTTTGTATAGCATCTTTTTATAAAAAAAATGCAGACATCTCTAAATAACTTAGTTGCACAGCGTACAGCAGAGAAAAGACAGATGTTAGAGTAATACTGAAGTTGCAAACTGAAAAGTTTTGTTTGAGAAACCACGTGAGAAAAATGGCCAGAGCTTATTTGTGCTGAAAAGAGTTAACACACCGGCCCTGAGGCTGCTATCGTTAGAAAGGTCCGCTTTGCAAGGCTACAACTTGTTTGGCATCTGGGAGAGAACTATGTAGTTAAGCTAGAGTTACCAGCCCCCATAAAACCCCCCTGGCCTGTGAGTCTGTTATGGGTTCCCTGACAGAAACATTGCACAGACATTGCTAGATTTTCCTTTTTGGGGTAAAGAGTGCTCTGTTTGACCCTTTCGGGGAGGGAGAGAACATAAGCCTGCACGTGGATTCCTGCAAACTTCACTTGTGTCTTTTTGCATTACGATCCAGGCTGTAGTCCATACGACATTGCTGTAATAAAAATTAGTTATGAGTACAACTACATGCTGAGTCCTGTGAGTCCTTCAAGTGAATCCCCAAATGTGAGGGTGGGCTTGGAACTCCCCAGATCCAATATTGGTGGTAGAAAGAACTTGAAGGTCTAGTAATTGAACTTTAATTTTATTTCTTTTTGCCTTAAAGGGGACTGAAAAGGAAAGCTATCCAGATAAGTGATTGCTAAATAGTGGGTTGCTGTCCAGAAGTAATTTTGTTTAGATATATTCCATATGTCAGAAAAATCACTGGAACTTTACTTGCCAGGTTTGAGTGTCTTTTACAGACCTTTTGCAGATTATAGGTCAAACACCTGATTTTTTTGTTGTTCTGCCAGCATTATGTGCCATTGCCTATCTAGAGTTTATCTGTGCAGTTGGGGAAAAGGTGTGACAAGTCTCTCATGGCCATTTTTCCTAGATTCTATTACTTATGCCTATATTTTGAGGACATCAAGTTGAAATATTTGGAGGTAACTGTAGGCTTGGGGGTGGAAAGTTCAGATTTGCCATCTGATTGTCTTTTTTTCCCCCTCAGTTAAGTAGAAGACTAGATACTATTTTGAGAAGTAAGTAGATGGAGGAGTGAGAGGTTTGGGAGAGTGAGAAAGGTTTCAGATGACTGTGTGAGGAGTAGGTAAGTAAGTTTTCCGGAAAGTGTAGTGGTTAATGGCATGTCTTAATCCATTTGAGATTGAGACTGTGTTATGAATTTAGCAACCCAGTCTGCTTTCTTACAAGATTTTCTCCAGCCTGTTTGGATGGAGACGTGGAGAAAGTAGTTAATTGGGTTCATTTAGGTTTGAATTTGTGTTAGAGGAGTGATACGGTAGTCCTTAAGGCTGTGCTTTCATACTTTGTTCTTCCTATGTACATGGTAAGTAAGGTTGCACTCTTTGTACACGTCCACCTCCCACCCCCATATGCCCCATGTCTACTTGAAGTTAAACGTGGCCCTATGACTTGCTTGTGCTGGTAAAATATGACCAGATGCGACATATGTCATTTCCCAGTGAAGCTTTTTTTTTTTTTTAATGTTTATTTATTTTTGAGAGAGAGAGAGAGAGAGAGAGAGACAGAGACAGCACAAGTGGGGGAGGGGCAGAGAGAGAAAGGGAGACACAATCTGAAGCAGGCTTCAGGCTCTGAGCTACCAGCACGGAGCCCTACGCGGGGCTCAAACTCATGAGCCATGAGATCATGACCTGAGCTGAAGTCAGATGTTTAACCCACCGGTCCAGCCACCCAGGTGCCCCTCTCTGAAGCTTTAAGAGCCAGCACTCCATTTGCCACTTCCCCATCTCTGTGCCTTGCTGTAGTGATCATGGAAGTGACAAGAGGCAGCCTCTTGTCAACCTGCGCATTAAAAGTGAATAAGGAGTGGCTGATCAGGCAAGCTGGAGGAACTTCAGTTGTGATTAGGGAAGGGAATACCTGAATTAGTGATTTTGCAAGGTGGAACTGTAGGGGTAAGTGGATGAGGAAGTTTGGAGGGAAAAGGCAGTCAGAAATGAAATGGTCGGGATTCCTGGCTTGCTCTGTCAGTAGAGCATCTGACTCTTCAACTCACGATCATGAAGCCCCATGTTGGGTGTGGAGACTAGTTGGAAGAAAAAGAAAAGAAATGGTCAGGGAACTCAGAGGCTTTGTAGATCTCCAACCCTGAAGGCCATGATTTGTTGCAACTCATTTCAAGAGTGATGACCCCTGGAGTTGAAGAAATGGCTCTTAAAATGGTAAACCCCAAAACTCCCTTTTGTGGAATATGGTAGAACTGAATCAAGATTCAGAATTTATTATTGAGTTGAAAGAGTCTTCCACCTTGATCAATAAAAGCAAGGAAACAGTTATGAAAATTACAGTATAGCTTAGCCATGGAACAGATATTACGTAGCATTTAGGCTAAGCTACTTTAACAGAGACTCCAAGTACAGTGGTTTTAAAAAATGCTTCTTTTTATCTAAAATTTTTAGAATTAACTTTGGGGTTTTAAGAAATGTAAGGGACAGAGGTAAGTGACACCATGAAGAGACAAATTCAGTGTGGTACTTTATACGATGTTGCTATTGAAAGTGTAGCAATGGACTCCCAGCAATCCTTCCAACTGAGAGTTTGTTAGGCAAAACCTCAGGTCCTGTACCAGACTTGTTGAACCGAAATCCTCATTTTAACAACATCTTTAAGGTGGCTCATATGCACTGCCCTGATCTCTTAAAAAAGCTAGTGTTTAGGAAAGTATAAGATGGGAAGAACAGTTGTAGATTAAAAGATACTAACAATCAACAGGACAGAACCAATACAGAGTGCAAATCTTGACTGAATATTGATTGATTTAAAAAAAAACAACAGTATGGAAGATGCTTCAGCTGAAGAGGTTAGAATATGGTGGAATATCAGAATAGGTTCATTTTCTTAGATGTGATGATGATGAGATTATATGGAAAAATGTTCTTAAAAGAGACATGTTCTTTGCGACTTCCTTTAAAATAGTTGAGCAGAAACCAACATACCACATACGTGTATATATGTCTCTCTCTATACACGCTGATGTTTAGATAAAACAAATATGGCAAAATGTTCTCCGGGTGGAATCTAGATAGTAAATATATGGGTGCTTGTTATATTGTTCTTTTAACTTTTGTGGAAGTGTAAATTTTTTCGTGATAAAAAAGTGGAGAAAAAAATGCAGTAGCGTTAAACAATTTATTTCTCTCTCACTTCAGTGCTAGGTCATATAGTGCAGGTAGGGCTGGCACATGGTTTCCATCCCTGGTCTGTGCTTTTCCAGCTTTTACTATTTCCTAGCTAGTGGGATGGGAAAATGGCAAGGGGAGCACATGGTCTAGAAGCAGCACTTATTTCCTTGATCAGAACTTTAGTTTTTTCATTCACCTGAGCATCATTTTTCCAGGGAGTAGTTGGTAAAAGTCAAATGTCATGTGCATTTGTATATGGGTTTAATAAAGATTTCTTTGGTTTCACCTGATGTTTTCTTCTCCCTCTGTTGATTTCCTAGGCCCAACTAAAATAGAAGTCATTTCAGTTTTAATATACATAAGGTACAGTAGCTAAAATTTTCATTTTGAGGATTAAAGTATGTTCATCCCCCCCCCCATCTTTTCAGTAACTAACAGATGCGGGTGAAAGAACCTTCCAAAGCTTTACCCGAGAAAGCAAAAAGAAGTAAAAGGCCTGCTATACCTCGTGATGAAGACTCTTCAGACGACATTGCTGGTAAATTGTGATATCTGGCATCCTTAATAGTGTTGCGGAAAATAACCATATTTGTTTTTAATTAAATCCTTTGCCCTTTATTTTCACTATTTTCTTTCTTTTAAAAAAAAAATTTTTTTTTAACATGTATTTATTTTTGAGAGACTGAGAGGCAGAGCATGAGTGGGGCAGGAGCAGAGAGAGGGAGGGAGACACAGAATGCGAAGCAGGCTCCAGGCACCGAGCTGTCAGCACAGAGCCCGACACAGGGCTCAAACTCAAGAGTCGTGAGATCATGACCTGAGCCGAAGCCAGACGCTTAACTGACTGAGCCCCCCAGGGGTCCCTATTTTCACTATTTTCTACATGAACTTTAAAATCAGCTTGTCTAGTTCCAGAACATCCTGTTGATATTTTTATTGACATTTTTGTTTAGTTTATAAAGTAACCTAGAATTGGCATCTTTTTGTTTCCCGTTTTTCATGGCCTGTTAAAACCAAGCCTTCAAGGCCGGGAGGCGTCTCTGGGAGTTGCTCGCCTTGGACTTGGTTTTCTCTTCAGCTTCATGACCTCCGTTTTGGCCTCTGAGGATTCATACTTTCTTACTAGTTCAGCTCTCCATTTAAAAAGTTGTTTAAAATTTTTTTTCTTTCTTTTTTTTTTTTTAATGTTTATTTACTTTTGGGAGAGAGAGAGAGAGAGACAGAGTGCAAGCAGGGGAGGGCAGAGAGAGGGAGACACAGAATCTGAAGCAGGCTCCAGGCTCTGAGCTGTCAGCACAGAGCCCGATGCGGGGCTCAAACTCACGAGCTGTGAGATCATGACCTGAGCCAAAGTCAGACGCTCATCTGACTGAGCCCCCCAGACACCCCTTTTATTTCCTGTTTACGTGGTTTTAACTTGGAAAGTGTTTGAGGACAGCTAGATTGCTATATTGAGGGAAGACTAAATTATATCTTTAAGCATTTGTTTTATTCTGTGGATATGATTTTTTTTCAGGGATTTTGAGTATTCTTATGTTAACTCTTCCTTGCCTGTCTTCTAGTTTCTTTTTCCTCAAATCTTCTAAAACTCCTGTTTCCTTTTCATTTTGCTTGCTGTTTTCATGTTTATCTTTACAGTGTTTTCTGCAGTGTCTGTTTCACCTTATGCCCTTTTTACTTTTGCCGTCATTTTTGTGGTTTATTTTTTTTTCTTCCATTTCTTTCCTGAACCCTGCTGGTCACTTCCTACTGTTTTGCCACCTTGTGCTAGAGCATTTTGCTTTTGTTTTGTATTTTTATTTCATGGCAATTGTTTCTGTGCCACTTGTTTTTCCTTTTTATTATATTGGCATAGAATTCGTGGCTTTGATTTCTCATTTCTTTCATTCTTTGAAGTAGGGTCACTTTTCTTGGGCCATTTAGTTTTGGAATATTCGTGTAAGAAGGAAGGCCAAAGCACTGTCGAGACCAACTGTAGTTTTGAGTCTGAGCACATTGAACCTTCTTCCCACCCAACAGGATTATGCCGCCCTGGGTTATTTCAGAATCCAAAATATCCCTTCTCCCTTGCCTTAGAGAGAAGACTATTTCTGGCAAACATGGCTTGTTCTTTTGTTTCTCACTTAGTGAATGAGACGTTGCCACCTTTTGCTTCTCAAAACAAAACTGGATACAGGGGAGCTCCTGCCAGTGTGGTTGCAGCACAGAGATTTCGGTTTTGTTCTTGTCTGTGAAGCACACATCGTTCTCTGTGAAGTCTACAGCTGCAGTGTTCTCTCTGCTTCCTTCTGTATACACTCCTATTTGGGATTTCTGGGCCTCAGTTGTCTCCTGGTTTTTCTGAAAATGAACTTGGTTTTTTTGTTTCGTGTTCTTGTTGACCTTGGGTGGTTCTGGGAAGAGAATGGGAAAATGTTGATTTTAGACCATCATTTACAAACTGGAAGACCTCCTTGTGGAGTTTTTATTAATACTTAAGATGAAAAACATGGAGATTTTACTTGTTGTTTCTGATTTGTTAATGTGGAACAATGATAGACTTCAATACATTTGTAGATTTTCCTCAGGAATCCCTAGAGGACTTGTTTGGCAAATCAAATTTAGACAATTGTATAATTAAATTACAGAAAACTGAGGAAATCTCCTTATTAGCACAGAAAAAAAAATTTTTATGTTCCCCCCACAAGAGATTATGAATACTATTTACTTATTTATTAAATGTTTATTTATTTTGAGAGAGAAAGAGAGGGTGAGTATGAGTGGGAGGAGGACAGAGAGAGAGGGAGAGAATCCAAAGCAGGCTCCATGCTGTCCGTGCAGAGCCATGACCATGAGATTATGACCTGAGTGGAAATCAAGAGCTGGCTGCTTCTCTGACTGAGCCACCAGATGCCCCTATAAATACTGTTTAATCACTGGTTAGTCTTGTAGAAAAACTGAACTTTCAGATTTCTTTATAAAAAGTACCTATGGTTGAGGCATTTAAAAGCTAATAGAATTCATTTAGAGGCCTGGAACCTTTTTATAATGAATTTACTTATCTCTGAATTCATTAACAATTTCAGTTTTATAAGTCTGATTTATAGAATCAGAGACTAGTTAAGTTGTCCCCTGGCCAGATGCCACCCCAGAGATGATATAGAAAGTGTATGGAATGATTTTTCCACTTAGAATTTTAAAATATAAAAACTCAAAGCAGTGGTATTTGGTAAACCCTGTCCAGGTCCTGTTCTTGTGTGGTCATCTGTCAGTCTTCCCCAGAGCACCCCTTTCGTTAATGGCATGTGTCCTTTTCAAATACAGGACTTCAGAGTTACTCCTTTTGTGTCTATTCTTGTAACTTGCTCTTGGTGTACAATGAGAAGGCTTAATCTTTTATCAGATTTACACATTACTTTTGCTGAAAGTAAATTATATTTTACAACAAATCACTTGTCAGGAGTCACATTCTTAGCCTTCAGGATGAATGGGACTAACGCTTAGCCTCTCTCGAGTTAACTAATAGGGGCAAGGAGTGCTGGGCGTTTAGGAAGGGAAGTGGAGAAAGTGGAAATGCACATACTCCTGTTTCCCTCTTCAAGTTACTCAGTCTTTCCTTCATTGTTTGGTTTTGGCAGATAGTTGTAGTTTTGGTGTTTGGAATAGTTGAAGTTGGAGAAATGGAAGTGTCATTGTGTCCTTGCGAGAAGACTATGGTTATCTGAAGAAATAAAAACATACTAGGTCATTTTGGCCATTTGTCTCCTCACGGTGCACACAGTGGGACTCTGTCATAAAGGATAATTAAGGGCTATGCAAAGTCATTTGCTATTTGAAAATATTCATTAAGGGGCGCCTGGGTGGCTTGGTCGGTTAAGCGTACGACTTCGGCTCAGGTCATGATCTCACGGTCCGTGGGTTCGAGCCCCGCGTCGGGCTCTGTGCTGACTGCTCAGAGCCTGGAGCCTGTTTCAGATTCTGTGTCTCCCTCTCTCTCTGCCCCTCCCCTGTTCATTCTCTGTCTCTATCTGTCTCAAAAATAAATAAACGTTAAAAAAAAATTTTTAAAAAATTCATTAAGGACAATTCTTGTACCTGTAAATGATTCCATTGTTTGTTCTTCTCTCTCTCCTTTCTCCCAACAGGGATGAAAATAGCATCAGAGCAGAGGTAGGCTCTGTGGAAAGATTTTATGTGTGTATCTTAATGAGAAGAAAATATATTCAAAATCCTTATTAACACAGCTGCTCAGCAAATTATCTCCTTTATTTATTAAACTTTTTACTTTTGGCCTAATTTTACTTTATTTTTTTAACATTTATTTATTAAAAAAATTTTTTTAATGTTTATTTTTGATAGAGAGAGAGAGACAGAGCATGAGTGGGGGAGGGACAGAGAGAGAGGGGCACACAGAATCCAAAGCAGGCTCCAGGCTCTGAACAGTCAGCATAGAGTCCGATGCAGGGCTCGAACTCACAGACCATGAGATCATGACCTGAGCCGAAGTCGGATGCTCAACCGACTGAACCACCCAGGCGCTGTAACATTTATTTATTTTTGAGAGATGGAGAGACAGAGTGTGAGAGGGGGAGGGGCAGAGAGAGAGGGAGACACAGAATCCAAAGTAGGCTCCAGGCTGTGAGCTGTCAGCACATAGCCCGATGCAGGGCTCGAACTCACAAACCGTGAGATCATGACCTGAGCCGAAGTTGGACACTTAACTGACTGAGCCACCTGGGCGCCCCTATTTTTGACCTGATTTTAAATTAATAGGAAGGTACAGAGAAATACACAAGGGGGTCCCATTCATTCTTCACCCAACCTCTCCTGATTTAATCTTATTTCTACAGTATGATATTAAAACCAGGAAGATGACGTCACTACAATCCTTAGAGCTTCTTCTGATTTCACCAGATCTACAAGGCCTCATATGTGTGTATTTGAGTGTGTATAACTCTATACGCAGTCTAATTACATGTGTAGTTTTGTAACTACCACAATTGAGATACCTGGCTGTACCATCACCATCCCAAGTGTTACCTGATAATAGGTAACCTGTCCTCCACCCATAGTTCCTGGCAGCCACAAATCTGTTTTCCAACTCTATAATTATGTTATTTCACAAGTGCTTTATAAATGGAGCCATGCAGTATGTATCCTTTTAAGTTACTTGGTTTTTTTTAATCTCTTTGCTTTTTAGTTACAGTGTTTTCATGCTATTGATTTTTGCTAAATGATGATAGCACTTTGGTTTAGCAAAGAAACTGTTCAGATTTTGTTATGTCTTATTCAGTAGGTTTCACTTGCCCACATGTAAATCTTGCCATCAGTGTGAATCATGTGAAGAAAGCAATAGCTGAGAATGTGTGGTCAGTTTGCTCCGACTGTTTAAGGGAAAGAAGATTCTCTGATGGGCAGCCAGTACTTTCCTCTGACATTTGGTTGTGCCTCAAGTGTGGTTTTCAGGTGAGAAAAGTGATTTTTATCTGTGACTTTAGTCTTAAATATTTTTATTAAATGCTTATTATGAGTTGGGCTATTGGTAATGTTTAGAACTTAAGATAAGTTTATTCCATGTTTGGATAGACCTTTCCAAGGCTGAACTTAGAAACTTTGTTAAGGTAAAGTAAAAGGTATGTTATCTTCAGAAAGTGATCATGTGTGATTTAGAAATACTTTGAAAGGGAAGCCAACCTACTCACAGTAGTTCTCAGCCCTGGACCTGTCTTTACCTGTTTGTATTTACTTATGAAATGAATCCAAGTTTTTTTTACATCTTTCTAAATTAATTTTTTTCTATGAAATGATTCTTAAAAAAAAAAAAAAAAAAAAAAAACATTATCTTGGGGCACCCAGGTGGCTCAGTCAGTTGAGCGGCCGACTTCGGCTCAGGTCATGATCTCATAGCTCGTGAGTTCGAGCCCCGCGTCAGGCTCTGTGCTGACAGCTCAGAGCCTGGAGCCTACTTTGGATTCTGTGTCTCCCTCTCTCTCTGCCCCTAACCCACTCACATTCTGTCTCTGTGTCTCTCAAAAATAAATAAATAAATAAATAAATAAATAAATAAATAAGTAAACCATTAAAACATTATCTTAACAGCTTAGAAGCTATTAATAAATACTGTAATAATTTTTTATTTATTATTATTATTTTTTAACATTTATTTATTTCGAGAGACAGAGACAGAGTGCATGCAGGTGAGGGGCAGAGAGAGAGAGACACACACACACACACACACACACACACACACACACACACACACAGAATCCAAAGCAGGCTCCAGGCTCTGAGCTGTCCTCACAGAGCCTGACGCGGGGCTCAAACCCACAAACCGTGAGATCATGACCTGAGCCGAAGTCGGACATTTAACCGACTGAGCCACCCAGGTGCCCCTGTAATAATTTTTTAAATGTTTGTTTATTTTTGAGAGAGAGAGAGAGAGAAAATGAGAACAAGTGGGGGAGGGGCAGAGAGAGAGAGTCAGAGGATCTGAAGCAGGCTCCGTGCTGACAACAGAGAGCCTAATGTGGGGCTCAAACTCACAAACCATGAGATCATGACTTAAGCTGAAGTCACCTAGGTGCCCCTATCATTAATAATTTTTGAATAACATATTTAAGATGTATATAATTTTACTAAAATAAGAGAATTCCTTATTATCTCTCATAGACAGTTCATAAGAGGACCACTTCAGGGTTAGTTAATTCAATGGAAAGAGCACTGAAAACTGAGATTTCTTCCATTTTTCTTCTGTGTCAATCTCAATTTCATGACTTTTTATGGCCAAAGATGTTTCATGTGTTATGTATCACACAGCAATCCCCAAAGGCCAGAAAGGGCAAAAAAGATATCCCTTTCCTGTTTGTTTTGTTTTTTAATATATAAAACTTTGCCAGAAACATCCAGCAGACTGCCCCTCATGTCTCATTGACCAGAATTGGATCTTATTTCTTTACTTGCCTGGTGAGGGAAATTACTATGATTTTGGCCTGAGTCCCATGAGTTGTTGTGGGTTTGGGTGGAGGTGTGGACAGTACTAGAAAATGTGTATATAGGAGGGGGCACTGGTCTGCGGGGATGCTTGATGCCCCACTGTGTAAAAGGCAGAGAGTGTATGCATTTTTAAATAATAGGGAAATTCACTTGCATCATGATTGTTTCCGGTAAATACTATATAACAAAAAGCAAGTTAGCCTCTTTGCAAGAAATTAAATATAATGAGAATCTATATTCCTTTCTGAAACTTGTCCTTCCTGCTTGAAATTAAAAACAAAACTTTTTCAGTATACGTTTGAGTATGATTTAGGTTTTGATTAATTTGAAAGAAACGTAAATGTAAATTGTACAAATAGCATTCTGTTCATCTTTAGGGATGCGGTAGAAACTCAGAAAGCCATCATTCAGTGAAGCACTACAGGAATCAGAGAACAGAATCTCATTGTATTACAATTAGTCTGAGCACATGGATTATATGGTAAGTTAGATTTTTGTCACTACTTGTGTCCACTACAAAAAATATCTTCTCTCCAAGCTTTACAAGGTAAAATATTTAAAGTTGTTGTACCAGCTGATGCTTTTTAGCCTGAACACAATCTTTAGAATACTGTAAGAAAATTAACATTACCCATGAATATAAAATTTAAATAAGAAAAAATTTAGTCATCCCTTTACTTTCCTTTAGCATTTTCTTGGTAGGGTAAAGAAACATCCTTCCTAGCTGATTTTTCGTAATGAACTTGCTAATACAGAATTCTAGAGTTCTTGAGAAGGAAGGTACTTCAGGCGGTCAAGTGGTTTGGTGATTCCCTGAAAGGAAAGGGAAAGCCTGGGCATTTGTAGTTTGTAGAAACTCCAGTGATTTTACTACTTAACCCTGCTGGGAACCAAATCCAGTTCCCCCACGTTGCATAAAAATGATACTCATGTTGTACCAAGTATCATTTACTTTTTTCTGGTTACAAAGTAAAAATCCAGGCACTAAAACAAGTGTTTTGATTCCCTAGTTTCTTACCAGCATAACACACTACTACAGTGGCATAAATGGATACTGTATTGAAAAGCTTTTTATATGTTTTGCAACAAAAATCTTCTAATTGGAATCTTCAGACTCCTACAAAAGTTTTCAAGTTCTCCTTGAATGAATTTCCGGAAGTTTTCAAGTTTTCTTTAACACAAAACTGTTTTAACTTTGTGTTTTCATTTCAGGGACCTAAAGGTAATACAAGGATGTTTCGGCTTATAGAAGAGTTAATCACCTTTTTTAATCCAGGGCACGGGTCAGGTGTTTGCCCCATCTGTGTTTTTGCTGTTGTTGGCCCCAAGTAACAACACTGGGGAGAATGAGGAAGGCACAGAGGCGATGTGCTATGTAAACGATGCAGTGGAGCCAAGGGAGAGGAAGAGGCTGCCATATGTGGCAGCTCAGCAGATATTTCTCTGTAATCTGAACAGAGCAGTGGTCTCAAACTATGGGGTGCATCGGAATCACCAGGAAGGTCTTGTTGAAATAGATTGCTGAGTCCCAGGCCTAAAGATTCTGCTTTCGTAGTTCTTGGGTAGCACCTAAAAATTTACACTTCTAACAAGTTCCTAGGTATTGCCAGTGCTGCTGGTCTGGGGAGCCTGGTTCCAGGACCATAGGAATAGAGGAAGGTGGAGGGGGAATTGAGTGGTACCTGGTAGAATAGGCTCATTTCAAGTGAGTCTATGTCAGAACTTGTGTTACAGCTCTTAGGACCATAAAGATGGTGTGAATCGTGATGTAATTTCAGGGGGGAAAAAACACCTTACCTAGCATAATATTGTTAGTTTTAACTTTATTGATTTTATAATTTTTTATGCTTAATTGTGTAATTTTGCTTTCATAGGTAAATAGAGTTATAGGGGTGATCAATTTATTGGGTTTTGTGAGTGGAATGTTGGATTTATATTATAATGAAAATAACTTAAGTCACATTTGGGGAGTCTGTAAAATTATTTTCCTTTTTAAAAAAAAATTTTTTTTAACTTTTATTCATTTTTGAGAGACAGAGGGCAAGCAGTGGAGGGGCAGAGAGAGAGGGAGACATAGACTTGGAAGCAGGCTCCAGGTTCTGAGCTGTCACCACAGATCCCGATGTGGGGCTTGAATGCATGAGCCATGAGATCATGACCTAAGCCGAAGTCAGATGCCTAACTGTGTGAGCCACCCAGGCGCCCCTAAAACTATTTATTTTTAAAATGATAATACATTTTGGTTGTTGTGAGGAATTAGAACATGCATGTAAAGCATTTACAACGTAGTAGATGCTCAAGTAAGTGGTTTTAGTTATTTCTGATGGAAGCAAATAGAACTAGTTTATGGTGAGCTGTCCTCTTTACACCAAATTCACTGCCATTATGTGGTTTTGCTTTACATTTCCTTTTTGTACCTTAAAGTTACCATATATTTTATAACACGTAAAAATTAAATAGCAATGTCAGTAAAAATTCCTTGACATTTCAGTTTTTTTTTAATTTAGAGAGAAAGAGTGAGCAGGGGAGTGGGGCAGAGAGAGAGAGAGAGAGAAAGAGAGAGAGAGAATGAACCTTAAGCAGGCTCCATGCTCAGCATGGAACTGACACAGGGCTCGATCCCACCACTCAGATCATGACCTGAGCTGAAATCAAGAGTCAGTCAGATGCTCAATTGACTGAGCCATCCAGGCACCTTGCAAATGAGCAATTTTTATTATTTTATGCAATAGTTACATAAGTAAAATTTGAGCACATATTGTAGTGTAAGCCTGGTAACTGTAACTACATTGTTTGGATTCCATCATGGTCTATTAGAAAAGATATTTTGGGAAGGTTTTCTGTGACTTGTTTCTTTCACAGATTTATCTGTATATCTGTATGCAAGTGATAGAGTAATGTTTGTATTTTGAGTATGAGTAAATATTTGACTGCATTTTGAGTGCTATTTAGAAAAGGAACCCATACCTAGTTTATAGCCGTGATCCCAGGACCACCAATAATTTAAGAATATTGTGAATATGTAAAGTGGTGTTGGTATAACATGTTTATAAAACACTTAAAAAAAAACATTTTCAATAGGTTCAAATATATTTTCTTGTTTGACCATTAGATCTTATGAAGATAAAGGAAGCAGGTAATGATAGTATATAGAAAAAACCTTTCTTAAAACTATATGCACTAATGAGTAAACTTAGTGGAGGACAGTTTTCTAAAAATGAATGTGCTTTTGAAAATCTCTTTGAAAAAAAAAAAGTATAAAAAAAAAAAAAAAAGAAAGAAAATCTCTTTGAGAGCCCTGTCTTCTGAACGAAGCCCAAACACAATAAAACTCTTATCCAGTCTTCCCCATCTCTGTAAATGGAAACTTCATCACTTAAGTATTCAAGCCAGAAGCCTAGCAGTTACTTTCTTTTCGATGTTATTTTGTTTTTTTAATTCTTTAACAAAAGTAGACAAAATGGTATAATGAAATCCTCTGTACCCATCACCCAGCTTTAAACATTCTCAACTCACAGTAAGTCTTGTTTCCTCTCGACCAGAATTTCTCAGTCTCCATACTGTTGTCATTTTGGCTGATAATTCTTTGTTGTGACAGGACCATCCTGTATGTCGTAGAATGTTTAGCATTCTCTACCCAGTGGATGCCAGTAGCACTTCCCCAGTTGTGACAACCAAAAATGTCTCAGAATATTACCAAATGTCCTCTGGGGGGCTGGGGGGTAAAATTGCTTCTGTTTGAGAATCACTGACAAGCCCTCATCCATTTCCCCCTTTCCATGGCAGTTATTTGGATACTTCTTTGTTCCTTCCTGAAATATGTGTAAATTAAATCTGTTCATTTTTATCCAAATCCACTGCTTCTACCTTGGCCTGCTTCTATTCCCTATTCCCTCCATCTGACATTAGTCAGAGTGCTGTTTGTGAAATGTGAATGGGATCACGTCACTTCCCTGCTTACAAAACTCCTCATGACTTTCCATTACACTTAGGATAAACTACCAGAACTTTAATTTGAATAAGGCTGTGCCTGAACTGTCTCCTGTTTATTTCTCTAGACTTCCCTAATGTCTCACCCTAGGTATACTTTTTTGCCCCTCCTTCATTTAAGTATAAGACTCGATAAATATCAACTTTATTACCTGGTGTGCAACATTATTGAAGATGCTTTCATAATATTTGCTTACATTTTATATTTTTTCAGGTGTTACGAATGTGATGAAAAATTATCAACACACTGTAATAAGAAGGTTTTGGCTCAAACAGTTGATTTTCTCCAGAAACATGTTTCTAAAACACAAACAAGTAAGTTAAGCAATTGCTAAAGAAATTTTTATTATATGATATTTTGTATTTACTTTAAAATAGATTTACTTGGGGTACCTGGGTGGCTCAGTTGGTTAAGTGTCTGACTCTTGATTGTGGCTCAGGTCATGATCTCATGGTTTGTGAGATTGAGCCCCGCATCAGGCTCCACACTGACAGTGCTGAGCCTGCTTGGGATTCTCTCTTCCTCTCTCAAATAAAGAAAGAAATTCCCCCCCCCCCCTTGGCAAGGGGGGGGCGCTCTCTCTCTTTCTCTCTCTCTCTCAAAATAAATAAACATTAAAAAAAATAATAAAATAATTTAAGGGCACCTGGGTGGCTTAGTTGGTGAGCATCCGACTTCGTCTCAGGTCATGATCTTGAGGTTTGTAAGTTTGAGCCTTGCATCAGGCTCACTGCTGTCAACCTTTTAGCACAGAGCCCACTTTGGATCCTCTGTTCCCCTCTTTCTGCCCCTCCCCCACTTGCACTCTCCCAAAAATAAATATAAAAATTTTTAAATATATATTTATATTGGCTTTATGTGAGCTTTTCATATAAAGAGTTCATAAATTCATAAATAGTACCCTAGATTTTACTTTGACCTCATAGCACAAGTGCCATGCGTTCCTAAGTAGCACTCTTGTGATGTTATCTTGTGTTATATTTACATGACTAATATGAGAGGCCAGACAGGGTAGTGACTAGATTGTGGGCTTCTGAGTGAAACAGTGCTGAGTTTGAATTCAGGCTCCACTTAAGTTACTTATTGTCCATGTGTCTTTTACTGCTTAGTTTACTTCTAAAAATTAGGATGATTGGGTGCCTGGGTGGCTCATTTGGTTGGGCGTCCAACTTCGGCTCGGGTCATAATCTCACAGCTCATGAGTTCGAGCCCCACATCAGGCCCTGTGCTGATAGCTCAGAGCCTGCTTCTGATTCTGTGTCTCCCCCTCTCTCTGCCCCTTCTCCACTCACACTCTGTATCTCTCAAAAAATAAACATTAAAAAAATTAGGATGGTAACTCTATTGTGTGGGGTTATTGTGTGGCTTAGAGATAATGTTTTATAAAAATTTAGAATAGTGTGTGTAGAAATGCTAGCATAGTGCCCAACACATATTTGTGAGGTGACATTTGTTATGTAATCATAGTGTAGTTCTGACACTAACTCCCTGGAGTTGGCTGACCCTACAGATTAAGGGCTTAGTCCCCCCACATGATTGCCCTCACTTCAGACACCATCCTCAAGCCCAGAGGTTCTCAGGCCATTCACATTTCTGACAAACTGGCTATAAATTTAGGGGTTCCCATGATCCTTCTGAGGCTCAGTAATTTCCTAGAATGACTCAGATAACTCAGGAAAGTGTATACTTAAAGTTAGTTTTATTATGATAGAAAAAAAAGAGATACAAATCAGGACAGCTAAAAGAAGAGACACATAGAGCAAGTACTGGGAAAGTCCCGAACGTGAATCTCTTGTGTCTTCTTCCTGTGGAGTCAGGACACATCACCTTCTCGGCACATCAATGTGTAACCAGGAGTATTGTTAACCAGGGAAATTATCTGGAGCTGTGGTGGTCCAGAGTTTTTATTGGTGCTTCATGGACTAGGCATCAATTGAATCATTGGCCACATGCTTGAACTCAGTCTCCAGTACCCCTATCCTCTAATCACACATTGGTCTTTCTGGCATGGCTAGCTGCCATCCTGAGTAATCTTATTAGCATAAGCTGTCTAGGAGCTCACCAAGAATAAGAAAGACACTCCCGTCCCTCTGGAAATCCAAGGATTTAGAGAGTACTTTTCAGGAAGCTGGAGGCCAAAAGGCAGACAAATCCTTTATTATACAGTAGTAATGTATTATATATTATATACTTTGTTAACTACATATGTTACCTGACATACAAATAATATATAATACATGTTAATATAAGGAAACCATCAACAAGACTAAATGGCAACCAACACAATGGAAGAAGATATTTGCAAATGACATATCAGATAAAGGGTTAGTATCCAAAATCTGTAAAGAACTTATCAAACTCAACACCCAAGAAACAAATAATCTAGTGAAGATATGGGCAAAGACATTGAATAGACACTTCTCCAAAGAAGACATCCAGATGGCCAACCAACACATGAAAAAATGCTCAACATCACTCATCTTCAGGGAAATACAAATCAAAACCAAAATGAGATACCACCTCACACCTGCAGAATGGCTAACATTAAAACAACTCAGGCAACAAGATGTTAGCGAGGATGCGGAGAAAGAGGATCGCTTTTGCATTGCTGGTGGGAATGCAAGCTGGTGCAGCCACTCTGGAAAACAGGATGGAGATTCTTCAAAAAACTAAAAGTAGAACTACCTTGTGACCTAGCAATTGCACTACTAGGCATTTATTCAAGGGATACAGGTGTGCTGTTTCGAAGGGACACAGGCATCCCCATGTTTATAGCAGCACTATCAACAATAGCCAAAGTATGGAAAGAGCTCACATGTCCATCGATGGATGAATGGATAAAGAAGATGTGGTATATATATACAATGGAGTATTACTCGGCAATCAAAAAGAATGAAATCTTGCCATTTGCAACTGTGTGGATGGAACTGGAGGGTATTATGCTAAGTGAAATTAGAGAAAGACAAAAATCATATGACTTCACTCATGAGGACTGTAAGACACAGAACAGATGAACATAAGGGAAGAGAAGGAAAAATAATATAAAAATATGGGGGGGGGGACAAAACATAAGAGACTCTTAAATATGGAGAACTAACAGAGGGTTACTGGAGGGGTTTTGGGAGGGGGGATGGGCTAAATGGGTAAGGGGCATTAAGGAGTCTCCTGAAATCATTGCTGCACTATGTGCTAACTAATTTGGATGTAAATTAAAAAAATAAAATTAAAGTGACGTACAGATAAAAGTTTGCTACTCCAGTTAAGACATGTATTGGCATGCTTTCTAAGTATGGTTTTCTACTCCATGGAGCTGAATTAGCTCAGTCTGATGACTACTGTTAACCTACAAGGTGCTGCTCTCTGGTACTAATCCTGACATGCAATTAAGAAGAGGAGGAGAGTTTTCTGGTAAAAATAAAAAATCTTCCACATTCTTCCAAAAAAACCCCACATGTATAATATAAATGAGTATATAGGGAAACAGTGTCTTCAGAAATTAAAAAAACATTTAATGTTTATTTATTTTTGAGAGAGAGAGGGAGACACAGAATCTGAAGCAGGCTCCAGGCTCTGAGCTGTCAGCACAGAGCCCTACGTGGGGCTCAAACTCATGAACCGCAAGATCATGACCTGAGCCAAAGTTGGATGTTTAACCCACTGAGCCACCCAGGTGCCCTTTCATTCAGAAATATTAAGTGTATTTAAGGGTACTACATGTTGGGTTTTATACTTTATACTGTAAGGAATTCAATGGTAAAGAATTTTTATTTTATTGGAAGTGTAATGGAAGCTACTAAAGTGTTTTAAGCAGGGGAGTAACAGTCATTTCAACGTCTTTTAATAACATTACTCTGATTGCTGTATGGACTGTTGGAGTTAAGAGGGAGGTGAGGAGATCATTACGAAGGTCAAGGTCAAGGTTTCATCAGAAACCAGTAGAGGCACTGATGGAAAGTGGGTGGATTCGATGTGAGTAAGGGAGAGTGGGAAAAATCAGTACACACCTCAGGATTTTGGGTGACTGGGTGAATGGACATGAGAATTTTGAAATGCCTTTGGCCCACAATTGAATTGCTTAGTAGGTGGCATTCAGAAACTGAAAATTTGTATTAAAATATACTAGTTGTTTGGCTGTATGTTCTGCAGCTCAATATGTAATTTTTTTTGTTAGCTATTGCTCTGAGACAACAATGGTGGAGAAATTGGTGAAGGAACTGGAGGAGGTAAACACAGGTGCCTGGACAGCTGAAGCAGTGGTTATTTTTTTCACTCATTTATTTATTCAACAGACATTTATTGAAATCTTACTCTGTCCCAGGCATACTAGTTGTAGCTGTGATTCTGCTCAAATAAAGAACCGGCAAAATATGATGATGATAGACATTTAACATTTCAGGAATAGATGTGGGTCTTAATGCTGTCTCCTGAAAGCCACACATTTTATGTGTTTTTTTTTCTGGCCATAAGATACGTAGGGATATGATGCCGGGGCAGCCAAAGTACAATTGCAGGGATTATTTTCTCTGGATTTTTTTTTTTTTTAACCTTAGAGTTTCCTTGAGATGAAGAAAAAGCCAGTCTATTTCATTTAATTGTACAGATTTCTTGAATATTTATTATCAAAAAGGATATAAGGAAGGGAGCATGGAATGATATGGTAGAAAGAACATGGGCTTTGTCAGGGGTGGGGGATCTGGCATTCAGATTTGACTCTTTCAGTCACTGGCAGGTTACTATTCATCTGAGCCTCATTTTCCTCAACAGCACCTGCCTCTTTTCCATGGTGTTTCAGGGAATAGAGATTGATAAGACAGTTCCTGTCCTAAATAATATAGATAAGCAGAACAGAGTTGTATTTTGACTGAAGTTCAAGCAAAGGCTTTCAGATATTCCAAAAGGGTTATAATGTTCAATTGAAAGGAACTGAGAAAGAATCATGAATGAGCTGGCTTTCAAGCTGACCCTTCAAGGTAGAGATGAGAGCAGCAATCATTGCCGGTGGTGGGAAGCACAGGTGTAGCCTTTAATTGTGTTTATGGAACCATGGGTAGCACTGGAATAATGGAAACAGGTTATTGAGGGAATTTGCGAGAGTGTGGAACCTTCACAGTTAGGGAGAGACATACTTCTGAGGTCAGGGTTTCCAGAAGTTCTAGGTCAAAATGTCATTATCTTTGTGTTTCAAGCTACAGTATCTCTCAGGTAAGTTTGATTTAAAATCAGATTCGTTGGCATTCTGGAAGTAAGTTTATTTGGGATAGTAATCTGCAGTATTTTTTGTTGCATAAAGTTTAAGTATGTTTTTATAAAGTAC